CAAGCCTGACTCAGTTACACCAGCTATGTCAGGAGGAATGGGCCAAAATTCACCAACTTATTGTGTGAAGCTTGTGGAAGGCTACCCGAAACGTTTGACCCAAGTTAAACAATTTGAAGGCAGTGCTACTAAATACTAATTGAGTGTATGTACATTTCTGACCCACTGGGAATGTGATGAAATAAAGAAAAGCTGAAATAAATCATTCTCTCTACTATTATTCTGACATTTCACATTCTTAAAATAAAGTGGTGATCCTAACTGACCTAAGACAGGGAATTGGAAGAGGCGAGTAAACTGCCTCTTCCATCAATCCTATTAGCCAATGTTCAATCATTTGAGAATAAATTGGATGACCTAAGATTACGGTTCTCCTACCAACGGGACATTAAAAACTGTAATATCTTATGTTTCACCGAGTCGTGGCTGAACGACGACATGGACAAAATACAGCTAGCGGGCTATGCGCTACATCGGCAGGATAGAACGGCTGACTCCGGTAAGACAAGGGGTGGCGGTCTGTGTATATTTGTAAACAACAGCTGGTGCACAAAATCAAATACTAAGGAAGTCTCAAGGTTTTGCTCGCCTGAGGTAGAGTATCTTATGATAAGCTGTAGACCACACTATTTACCAAGAGAGTTTTCATCTATATTTTTCAGAGCTGTCTATTTACCACCACAAACCATTGCTGGCATTGAGATTGCACTGAATGAGCTGTATAAGGCCATAAGTGAACAGGAAAACGCTCATCCAGAGGCAGCGCTCCTAGTGGCCGGGGACTTTAATGTAGGGAAACTTAAATCCGTTCTACCTCATTTCTACCAGCATGTTAAATGTGCAACCAGAGGAAAAAAACCTCTAGACCACCTTTACTCCACACACAGAGACGCATACAAAGCTCTCCCTCGCCCTCCATTTGGCAAATCTGACCATAACTCCATCCTCCTGATTCCTGCTTATAAGCAAAAACTAAAGCAGGAAGCACCAGTGACTCGGTTAATAAAAAAGTGGTCAGATGACGCAGATGCTAAGCTACAGGACTGTTTTGCTAGCACAGACTGGAACATGTTCCGGGATTCTTCAGATAGCATTGAGGAGTACACCACATCAGTCACTGGCTTCATCAATAAGTGCATCGATGATGTCGTCCCCACAGTGACCGTACATACATACCCCAACCAGAAGCCATGGATTACAGGCAACATCCGCACTGAGCTAAAGGGTAGAGCTGCCGCTTTCAAGGAGCGGGACTCTAACCCGGACGCTTATAAGAAATCCCGCTATGCCCTCCTACGAACCATCGAACAGGCAATGAGTCAATACAGGACTAAGATTGAATTGTACTACACCGGCTCTGACGCTCGTCGGATGTGGCAGGGCTTGAAAACTATTACAGACTACAAAGGGAAGGACAGCCGCGAGCTGCCCAGTGACACAAGACTTCCAAACGAGCTAAACCACTTATATGCTCGCTTCGAGGCAAGCAACACTGAAGCATGCATGAGAGCACCAGCTGTTCCGGATGACTATGTGATCACGCTCTCCGTAGCCGATGTGAGTAAGACTTTTAAGCAGGTCAACATTCACAAGGCCGCAGGGCCAGACAGATTACCAGGACGTGTACTCCGACAAGTGTCTTCACTGACGTTTTCAACATGTCCCTGACTGAGTCTGTAATACCAACATGTTTCAAGCAGACCACCATAGTCCCCGTGCCCAAGGACACTAAGATTACCTGCCTAAATGACTACCGACCCGTAGCACTGACGTCTGAAGCCATGAAGTGCTTTGAAAGGCTGGTCATGGCTCACATCAACACCATTATCCCAGAAACCCTAGACCCACTCCAATTTGCATACGGCCCCAACAGATCCACAGATGATGCAATCTCTATTGCACTCCACACTAACCTTTCCCACCTGGACAAGAGGAACACCTACGTGAGAATGCTGTTCATTGACTACAGCTCAGCATTCAACACCACTACAGAGGGTAGTGCGTACGGCCCAGTACATCACTGGGGCCAAGCTTCCTGCCATCCAGGACCTCTATACCAGGCGGTGTCAGAGGAAGGCCCTCAATATTGTCAAAGACTCCAGCCACCCTAGTCATAGACTGTTCTCTCTGCTACCGCACGGCAAGCGGTACCGGAGTGCCAAGTCTAGGTCCAAAAGACTTCTCAACAGCTTCTACCCCCAGGCCATAAGACTCCTGAACAGCTAATCATGGCTACCCGGACTATTTGCACTGCCCCCCCACCCCCACCCCCCACCACATATTTTTACGCTGCTGCTATTCTGTTAATTATTTATGCATAGTCACTATAACTCTACCCACATGTACATATTACTTCTACTACCTCAACTAGCCGGTGCCCCCGAACAAGGACTCTGCACCGGTACCCCCCTGTACAGTGAGGGAAAAAAGTATTTGATCCCATGCTGATTTTGTTTGTTTGCCCACTGACAAAGAAATGATCAGTCTATAATTTTAATGGTAGGTTTATTTGAACAGTGAGAGACAGAATAACAACAACAAAATCCAGAAAAACGCATGTAAAAAATGTTATAAATTGATTTGCATTTTAATGAGGGAAAAAAGTATTTGACCCCCTCTCAATCAGAAAGATTTCTGGCTCCCAGGTGTCTTTTATACAGGTAACGAGCTGAGATTAGGAGCACACTGTTAAAGGGAGTGCTCCTAATCTCAGTTTGTTACCTGTATAAAAGACACCTGTCCACAGAAGCAATCAATCAATCAGATTCCAAACTCTCCACCATGGCCAAGACCAAAGAGCTCTCCAAGGATGTCAGGGACAAGATTGTAGACCTACACAAGGCTGGAATGGGCTACAAGACCATCGCCAAGCAGCTTGGTGAGAAGGTGACAACAGTTGGTGTGATTATTCGCAAATGGAAGAAACACAAAAGAACTGTCAATCTGCCTCGGCCTGGGGCTCCATGCAAGATCTCACCTCGTGGAGTTGCAATTATCATGAGAACGTTGAGGAATCAGCCCAGAACTATATGGGAGGATCTTGTCAATGATCTCAAGGCAGCTGGGACCATGGTCACCAAGAAAACAATTGGTAACACACTACGCCGTGAATGACTGAAATCCTGCAGCGCCTGCAAGGTCCCCCTGCTCAAGAAAGCACATATACATTGCTGTCTAAAATTTGCCAATAAACATCTGAATGATTCAGAGGAGAACTGGGTGAAAGTGTTGTGGTCAGATGAGACCAAAATGGAGCTCTTTGGCATCAACTCAACTCGCCGTGTTTGGAAGAGGAGGAATGCTGCCTATGACCCCAAGAACTCCATCCCCACCGTCAAACATGGAGGTGGAAACATTATGCTTTGGGGGTGTTTTTCTGCTAAGGGGACAGGACAACTTCACCGCATCAAAGGGACGATGGACGGGGCCATGTACCGTCAAATCTTGGGTGAGAACCTCCTTCCCTCAGCCAGGGCATTGAAAATGGGTCGTGGATGGTTATTCCAGCAAGACAATGACCCAAAACACACGGCCAAGGCAACAAAGGAGTGGCTCAAGAAGAAGCACATTAAGGTCCTGGAGTGGCCTAGCCAGTCTCCAGACCTTAATCCCATAGAAAATCTGTGGAGGGAGCTGAAGGTTCGAGTTGCCAAACGTCAGCCTCGAAACCTTAATGACTTGGAGAAGATCTGCAAAGAGGAGTGGGACAAAATCCCTCCTGAGATGTGTGCAAACCTGGTGGCCAACTACAAGAAACGTCTGACCTCTGTGATTTCCAACAAGCGTTTTGCCACCAAGTACTGAGTCATGTTTTGCAGAGGGGTCAAATACATATTTCCCTCATTAAAATGCAAATCAATTTATAACATTTTTGACATGGGTTTTTCTGGTTTTATTTGTTGTTATTCTGTCTCTCACTGTTCAAATAAACCTACCATTAAAATTATAGTCCGATCATGTCTTTGTCAGTGGGCAAACGTACAAAATCAGCAGGGGATCAAATACTTTTTTCCCTCACTGTATATATAGCCTCCCTACTGTTATTTTATTTTACTTCTGTTTTTTTTTTCTCAACACTTTTTTTTATTTTACTTTTTTATAAAAATAAATAAATGCACTGTTGGTTAAGGGCTGTAAGTAAGCATTTCACTGTAATGTCTGCACCTGTTGTATTTGGCGCATGTGGCCAATACAATTTGATTTGATTTGATTTGACATCATTGTCTTTTCAGAGTGAGACATAGTATCATATTCCTCAACAATAAGCGGTAGGATGTCTGATCTGTATTCAGCAAGGATTGTTTTGAATTTCTTCTCGGAACCAGTCTCAACAAAGCATTTTGAAAGTTTGGAAAAAATCCCACTCTTCCGCTGAACTTCATTACATTTACATTTTTGTCATTTAGCAGATGCTCTTATCCAGAGCAATTAGGGTTAAGTTCCTTGCTTAAGGGCACATCGACAGATTTTTCACCTAGTCAGCTCAGGGATTAGAACCAGCGACCTTTCGGTTGCTGGCACAACGCCCTTACCCACTAAGCTACCTTTTTCATCACTCGTAACAATGTCATTGATCATTTCCAGGCAAATGTGCAACTGGCTATTCACAGAGAGAAGATCAGGCTCTTCCTCTGTCTCTTTTTCTTTGTCAGCAGGTCCATTTTTGTTCCTTTTTTTTTCTGGCCAATATGAAGAGATTCCTGTAATGCATGTTCTTTTTTTCTGAGATCTCTGTCAGAATTTTCTTGAAGTAAAGGAACGGTTTTTCTTTTCCTGGGATGAAGCACATCAGGTATTACAAACACCTCTTTTGAGAATTCACCATTATGTACGAGGTCATATCTGTGTTGATTCCTAATAAGGTTTCTCACTTTACTTAAAATGCATGATTCAAAGTAAAAAAGTCTCAAACGTTTTTGCAAATTAAAATCAAAATTATATTCTAGAATATCATAGAGAAAATATGCAAATCCTTTTACTTTTCTACGTCCTTTTGTCTTTTAAAAAAACGATTGTTGAATCTCAAAAATTACACCATTAGTCAGTAAATGAAATTCAAGTTTCGTTTTTGCAGGTTTGGATGCAACATCCAGGTCCATACCTATTTCCCCGCAGCATGGGTAGCGCTCGTTTACTTTTTCTGCGTTAGACATCACATTTGATTGGTCTAAGTTGGTAACAGTTTGCTTTGTTTCTTCAGCATTAAGTGCAAGGTCAGTCTCAGAGATGCTCCCTTTCGTCACACAATGACGTTCTGCTTGTCTGACTTTCTGAAATTTGACTCCCTTTGTCGCTCTGGCAATTACCATGTCCATATCTTTATTTTTCCTCATTAAATCCAATTTCCTTTGTGTTTCTTCTTTACATTTTTGTGATGCTGGAGTGACCTTTTGGTTACTGGAAATCTCTGCAGGATTCTTTCTTTGGCGCAACTTCTTTAAGAAAGCTTCCTTTTCAAATGCACATCTCCTTTTACCTTTTCGGCCACCTGTCCTGCTCTGCAAAAGGGTTTGTCTAACTGCACCCGTAATATGTTCAGCCAACTCAGTTTTCCCACTTTGTAAATCCAGATCAAAATTATGCTCTAGAACGTCACAGACAATCTGCTCGTAAATTCCACACACTTGTGAGGCAAAATCAGCCACTTCAAGCATTACGTCTCTGGTCAATAGATGCAAGTCAAGTTTAACTTTTTTCCCAAATTTTGATTTCACATCAAGGTCAAGTCCTTTTTCCTTACAGAGAGGGTAGAGGTACGCCAATGCTTCTTCCACTGTGGGCACCATTAAGGATTGGTCCATTACAAGTCTGTGTGCCATTTCATCAGCACACATTGTTATGTCTGTCTCAGTTGAGGTCTCCACTTTGACACGCTGAGGACACATGATGTCCAGTTCATGCTCTTTCTTTATGCAGATATCAGCAGGACCATTTTCATGTCGAGCTTCGCCAAGTATTGGTGTCTCATCAGCACATCGGGTTACATCCGTCTCAGTAATGATGCTCTCAGTCTTCACATGCTGAGGAGATATCAGGTCCACAAAAGGCTCGTCCTTTATGATGTCAGCAGATACAGGACATTCTGACACACAGTTATGCAAGTGTATCATTGCCCATTTAAGAGAGTATTTCCCTGCTTTCAATGTCTTTGGATCAGGAATTTCAAACACTTCTGTTAACCACACTGGTTTTGTTCTCTTGCAATGCATCTTCAGCATGGCATTTAATTTTGACATAGTCCAGCTCGAAAATGAATATCGTACCTCATTTTGCAGACCAAGATCAAAGTTGTATTCTAGAATATCACAAATAACGTGCTTGTGAGATCTATTAATCCATTTGGCAAATTCAGAAACCTCAACCATTACTGCATTAGTCAGTAAATGCAAATCAAGTTTCTGTTTCACTACAGTTCCGACATTCAACTGTAAACCTATTTCCTTGCACTTGGCATATGGTACTTTCAAATATCTTCCAGACCATTTTGGCGTAGGTCTTGAGTAACTGACACGACACTGCCGTATATATCCATCCTCTCCAGTTTTACATTTGGCATTGTAGTGTTTATCTTCAAAGAGAACTATTAGGTACATTGCAGCCGCTTGCTGTAGCAGATGAGGTTAGCACATAAGGTATGGCAGTACCATGTCTTGAGATCCTCAAAAAATTCTACAGCTGCACCATCGAGAGCATCCTGACTGGTTGCATCACCGCCTGGTATGGCAACTGCTTGGCCTCCGACCGCAAGGCACTACAGAGGGTAGTGCGTACGGCCCAGTACATCACTGGGGCCAAGCTTCCTGGCATCCAGGACCTCTATACCAGGCGGTGTCAGAGGAAGGCCCTCAAAATTGTCAAAGACTCCAGCCACCCTAGTCATAGACTGTTCTCTCTGCTACCGCACGGCAAGCGGTACCAGAGTGCCAAGTCTAGGTCCAAAAGACTTCTCAACAGCTTCTACCCCCAAGCCATAAGACTCCTGAACAGCTAATCATGGCTACCCGGACTATTTGCACTGCCCCCCCACCCCATCCTTTTTACGCTGCTGCTACTCTGTTAATTATTTATGCATAGTCACTTTAACTCTACCCACATGTACATATTACATTTTACATTTTTACATTTTAGTCATTTAGCAGACGCTCTTATCCAGAGCGACTTACAGTTAGTGAGTGCATACATTTTTATTTTTTATACTGGAATCGAACCCACAACCCTGGCGTTGCAAATGCCATGCTCTACCAACTGAGCTACATCCCTGCTGGCCATTCCCTCCCCTACCCTGGACGACGCTGGGCCAATTGTGCGCCGCCCCATGGGTCTCCCGGTCGCGGCCGGCTACGACAGAGCCTGGATTCGAACCAGGATCTCTAGTGGCACAGCTAGCACTGCGATGCAGTGCCTTAGACCACTGCGCCACTCAGGAGGACATTATATTACTTCAACTACCTCAACTAGCCGGTGCCCCCGCACATTGACTCTGCACCGGTACCCCCCTGTATATATATAGCCTCCCTACTGTTATTTTATTTTACTTCTGCTCTTTTTTTTCTCAACACTTTTTTTGTTGTTGTTTTATTTTTACTTTCTTTGTTAAAAATAAATGCACTGTTGGTTAAGGGCTGTAATTAAGCATTTCACTGTAATGTCTGCACCTGTTGTATTCGGCGCATGTGACCAATACAATTTGATTTGATTACCATTTCCAGCTGGCAATTCATTATTGGCCTGTGTCTGTGTTGGGCTAAATATTTGTGAAGTTGGGTTGATGTGACTTTCAAAAGAACCCCTTTCTGCAGTTGGTAGTGGTGACGCTGCGAGGCTGAATACATTGGTCAGAATATTATTGGGCATTGATCCATGCCATGAACCATCTTTGATCAAATGCTCTTCAGATGTGCTAATGGTATCTTGGTCTTCGCAGAAATAAACCAACTTGACCTCAGAGTGAGGATCAGATTCCTCCTTTATGCACATGACAGCAGGTCCATTATCCTGGCCAAACATTGCTGCTTCATCAGTGGAGATTGTTTCAATTGTCTCCATAGTGATAGTGTGTTGACCATGATGAGGATATACCAGTCTTGCATCTTGTTAATTTTTTTTCCAGAGATTTCTTTCAGACATTCTTTGGGGAAAAGAGTCTGAAAGCACAGTATTTTTTGCTTGGCTTTGAATCACACTAGCTATTATGAACACTTCTTTTGAGATTTCGCCCTTTCCCTGGAGCTCAGGTTTGTGTTCCTGAACCATTCTTTTCACTTTACTCGAAATGCATAATTCAAATTGATAACGTCTCTGATTTTGCAAACTAAGATCAAAATTGTATTCTAGAATATCATAGAGAGCAAACATAGAATATCCCATTGTCTTTTTAAATCCAGGCTGACCTCGAGGCTGATGATTCTTGCATAAATATGTATGAACCTAAAAGATTACACCGTAAGTCAGTAAATTAAATTCCAGTTTCGTTTTTGCAGGTTTGGATGCAACATCAAGGTCCAGACCAATTTCCTGACAGAGTGGGTAGCACTCTTTCACCACTTTTTTGGTGTTAGATGTCACAGTTGATTGGTCTAATTTGGTAACAATTTGCTTTGTTTCATCAGCACAAAGTGCAAGGTCGGTCTCTTCAGAGATGCTCTCTATCTTGACCCAATGAGGTTCTACTTGTCTGAGTTCTAAAAAATCCCCTCCCTTCGACTCCCTGGCTATTAACATTATTTTATTTTTCCTCATTAAATCCAATCTTCTCCTTTTTGTTACTTCTTTCAGTCTTTGGTATTTCGGCTCAAGTGATGCTTTAGTGACCTTCTGGTTACTGGAAATCTCTGCAGGATTCTTTTGTTTGCGTTGCTTCTTCAGGAAATCTCCTTTGACCTTTTATATGTGTCTTGCTCTGCAAAACTGCTCTTAATGTGCCCATAATATCTTCAGCCAGCTCAGTTTTCCCACTTTGTAAATCCAGATCAAAATGATGCTCTAGAACATCACAGACAATCTGCTTGTAATTACCACACACTTCTGAGGCAAAATCAGCCAATTCAAACATTACGTCTCTGGTCAATAGATCCAAGTCAAGTTTCTCCTTTTTCCCAAATTTTGATTTCACATCAAGGTCAAGTCCTTTTTCCTTACATATAGGATAGAGGACCCTCAATGCTTCTTCTAATGTGGGCAACAATAAGGATTGGTCCATTGTTGTGTCTGTTTCATCCCTCGTGTAGATATCATTAGATCCATTTTCAGGGCCAAGGATTGTGGTTTCATCAGCACATCGTGTTACAACTGTCTCAGTAAAGACGCTCTCAGTCTTCACATGCTGAGGAGATATCAGGTCCACAAAAGGCTCGTCCTTTATACAGATGTCAAAAGGTGTAGGATTTTCTTACATGCTGTTATGTAAATTACGAGATCTATTAATCTCTTTAGCATATTCAGACACCTCAACCATAACACCATTTGTCAGTAAATTAAAATCAAGTTTCTGTTTCGCTTCAGATACAACATTGAAATCTACACCGATTTCCTTGCACTTGGCGTATGGATCTTTCCAATAACTCCCACAATGTCTTAGGTTAGGTCTTGAGTAACTGACACAACACTGCCATATATATTTATCCTCTATCGTTTTTTTGGCACCGCTATGGAACGAGTAGTGAATACTATGGAGCGATGGGAGAGAGGAGGTATCCCTATACCTCCTCCGATTACACCACCACCTACACCGATGTCCATCGCTTCACCCTCTGGGTCCAGTGGGATTCAGCTCTCGCTCCCGAGGGCTTATGACGATACAGCTGCCGGGTGTCAGGGTTTTCTGCTCCAGGTAGACCTCTACCTGGCAACTATCCACCCGGCTCCCTCGGGATATGAGAGCGTGTCCGCCATCATCTCCTGTCTGTCCGGTAAAGCGCTGGAGTGGGCCAACACCGAGTGGGGGGAATAGACGCCGCAACTGTAAGCTATGCAGAGTTTACCCGCCGCTTTAGGCCGGTATTCGATCATCCACCAGAGGGGAGAGCGTCTATTCCACCTCAGACAGGGGAAGAGGAGCGCACGGGAATTTGCACTGGACTTTCGGACTCTGGCTGCCAGCGCAGGATGGAATGAGAGGGCCCTCATCGACCACTACCGTTGCAGCTTGAGGGAGGACGTTCGTCGGGAATTGGCCTGCAGGGACACCAACCTAAACCTGGACCAACTGGTGGATATGTCAATTCGACTGGATAACCTGTTGGCTACCCACGGATGTCCGGATTAGGGGCCGTCCATTCCATCCCCCAGCACCTCCGACCCTACCCCTATGGAGCTCGGAGGTGCTGCTATGAGGGAGACCGGTAAAGGGGCCGTCCCCTGCACCAACTGTGGCCGCAGAGGACACACTGCTGGTCGGTGCTGGGGAGGGCCTTCAAGGAGTCGAGGCAGTAGGCAGCGCACTGATGAACCGTTTCAGGTGAGTAGGCACCCAACTCACCCAGAGCTCCCTGTTGCGCATATATGTATTAATGTTGTATTTCCCGAGTTTTCTTCTCATTCCCAGCATAAGGCGCTAGTAGATTCAGGCGCAGCTGGGAACTTTATTGATCGTCAGTTTACCCGTAGGTTAGGGATTCCTATTGTGCCAGTCGATGTGCCCTTCCCTATTCATGCCTTAGATAGTCGCCCTTTAGGGTCAGGTCTGATTAGGGAGGTCACAGCGCCACTCTGGATGAAGACGCAGGAGGGGCATGAGGAAATAATTAGTCTATATCTGATTGATTCTCCTGCGTTTCCCGTGGTGTTGGGGCTTCCCTGGTTAACTTCTCATGACCCTACTATTTCATGGCAACAGAGGGCTCTCAAGGGATGGTCAAGTCAGTGCTTGGGGAGGTGTGTAGGTGTTTCCGTAGGGGCAACTACGGTGGAAAGTCCAAACCAGGTTCCCACCATGCACATTCCGCCTGAATATGCCGATTTGGCTCTCGCCTTCTGTAAAAAGAAGGCGACTCAATTACCACCCCATCGACAGGGGGATTGTGCGATAAACATCCAGGTAGGCGCTGCGCTTCCCCGGAGTCACGTGTATCCTCTGTCACAGGAAGAGACAGCGGCTATGGAAACATATGTCACCGAATCTCTGAGACAGGGATACATTCGGCCGTCCACTTCCCCTGTGTCATCGAGTTTCTTTTTTGTGAAGAAGAAGGATGGTGGCTTACGCCCGTGCATTGACTACCGTGGTCTAAATCAGATCACTGTAAAATACAGCTATCCATTACCTCTGATTGCGAGTATGACGGAGTCATTGCACAGGGCACGCTTCTTCACGAAATTGGATCTCAGGAGCGCGTACAACCTGGTGCGTATTCGGGAGGGAGATGAGTGGAAGACGGCATTTAGTACCACCTCGGGGCACTATGAGTACCTCGTCATGCCATACGGTTTGATGAATGCTCCTTCAGTCTTCCAATCTTTTGTTGATGAGATTTTCAGGGACCTGCATGAACAGGGTGTAGTGGTGTACAGTGGGGAGAACAAGTATTTGATACACTGCCGATTTTGCAGGTTTTCCTACTTACAAAGCATGTAGAGGTCTGTAATTTTTATCATATGTACACTTCAACTGTGAGAGACGGAATCTAAAACAAAAATCCAGAAAATCACATTGTATGATTTTTAAGTAATTAATTTGCATTTTATTGCTCGGGTACGCCACCAAAACTCCGCCCCTGTGCTTTCTTTTCTAAGAAGCTCAGTCCGACGGAGGGCAATTATGATGTGGGGGACCGGGAGCTGTTAGCTGTGGTTCAAGCTCTGAAAGTGTGGAGGCATTGGCTTGAGGGGGCTAAACACCCATTTCCCATTTTGACTGACCATCGTAACCTGGAGTACATCCGGGCGGCGAGGAGGCTGAACCCTCGTCAGGCAAGGTGGGCCATGTTCTTCACTTGTTTTGTGATTACTCTCACTTACAGACCAGGTTCCCAGAACGCTAAGGCAGACGCCCTGTCCCGACTGTATGACACAGAGGAGAGGTCCATTGAGCCCACTCCCATACTCCCGGCGTCGTATCTGGTGGCACCGGTGGTGTGGGAGGTTGACGCGGACATCGAGCGGGCGTTACGTACTGAGCCCACTCCCCCCAGTGTCCAGAGGGTCGGATGTACGTGCCGCTTGAGGTTCGTGATCGATTGATCTATTGGGCTCACACGTCTCCCTCCTCTGGTCATCCTGGCATCGGTCGGACAGTGCACTGTCTTAGTGGGAAGTACTGGTGGCCCACTTTAGCCAAGGACGTGAGAGTTTATGTTTCCTCCTGCTCGGTGTGCGCCAGTGTAAGGCACCTAGACACCTGCCCAGAGGGATATTACAACCCCTACCCATTCCACAACGGCCGTGGTCCCACCTATTGGTGGATTTTGTGACGGACCTTCCCCCGCTCACAAGGGAACACCATGATCCTGGTCGTTGTGGATCGGTTTTCGAAGGCCTGCCGTCTCATTCCTATGCCAGGTCTCCCTACAGCCCTACAAACTGCTGAGGTCCTGTTTACACACGTCTTCCGGCACTACGGGGTACCTGAGGATATTGTGTCGGATCGGGGTCCCCAGTTCACCTCAAGGGTCAGGAGGGCGTTCATGGAACGTCTGGGGGTCTCGATTAGCCTTACCTCAGGTTTTCACCCCGAGAGTAATGGGCAGGTGGAGAGAGTTAACCAGGATGTGGGTCGGTTTCTGAGGTCCTATTGCCAGGACCAGCAGGGGGAGTGGTCAGGTTATATCCCCTGGGCAGAGATAGGCCAAAACTCACTCCGCCACTCCTCTACTAACCTTACGCCTTTCCAGTGTGTGTTAGGTTATCAGCCGGTCCTGGCACCTTGGCATCAGAGCCAGATCGAGGTTCCTGTGGTGGATGAGTGGTTTCGGCGCTCGGAGGAGACCTGGAACGCTGCTCATGTACACCTGCAGCGGGCAATCAGGCGACAAAAGGCGAGCGCCGATCACCACCGCAGTGAGGTGGCTCTCGACCCGAAACCTGCCCCTTCGCCTGCCCTGCCGGAAGCTGGGTCGGCGGTTTGTGGGGCCATTTAAAGTCCTGAGGAGATTGAACGAGGTTTGTTATAGGTTACAACTTCCTATTAATTACCGTATTAACCCCTCATTCCATGTGTCTCTCCTCAGGCCAGTAGTAGCTGGTCCACTCCAGGAGTCTGAGGTACTGGAGGTTCCTCCGCCCCCACTGGACATCGAGGGGGCTCCGGCGTACTCGGTCCGTTCCATCTTGGAATCGAGGCGTCGGGTGGGGGGCCTGCAGTATCTCGTGGAGTGGGAGGGGTACGTTCCGGAGGGATTTCCACCAGAGTCATCCGACCCGCCCTGCTCTGCGTCCTCCTGGCCGTCCCGAGGCCGGGGTCGGTGTCAAGGGGGGGGGGGGGTACTGTCACGGATTCAGCCGAGGCTGCCCCTCCTCCTTGCTCGGGCAGGCTTTGGCGTTCGTCGTCACCGGAGTACTAGCTGCTACCGATCCATGTATCTATGTTCGACTTGTTTTGTCTTAATTGGTCACACCTGTTTCCCATTATGTAGTTATGTCTTCCCTATTTAACCCTCTGTCTCACACTGTGTGTTGTGCGTGTTTGTTCATGTTTCGGTTGTTGTTAGTGTGCGGGTTTGTTCCCTCCCTGCGTGGAGGTTGTTGTTCATTCTTTTACCTTTGAGTAAAGTACGCCTTTTGATTAGCTCTGTGTCCTGCGCCTGACTTCGCCTACCGCATTACACTGACGGCTTGACAGCATTGTAGTCTTTGTCTTCATCAGAGGGAAAGTTCAATGGCTCACAATAATCTTGAAGAATAGGCCAAGGTCTAACAGATACAGCTAAGGTTAGCACAGAAGGAATGGCAGTACTATTGCTTGGGAGATTAAGTTTGTCAGCGGGCAATTCATTATTGGTCTGTGTTTGGCTTACACTAAACACCTGTAAAGTTGGGTTGATTTGAACTTCAAAAGAACCGCTGAGGGTGAACACATTTGATATCGGAATATCACTGGACAGTGCTCCATGCCATGATTCTTCTTTGATCAAATGCCCTACAGATGTGCCGATGGTATTTTGGTCTTTACAGAAATAAACCACTTTGACAGCTTTATTCTCCATATAACTTGCTCCTATCTTTTCAGGAAAAATACGTAAAATCTGCCCTGGACTAATGGTAGAAGGTACATGTGAATGTTATTTCAGTAAACCCACATGGGAACCTGAACATGGGACAGCTGGGGATATCCCCATGTCATTCTCCTCAAGCTTTACATTTACATCAATCTCAGAAAGAAAATAGCTGGCTGATACGTTGTTGGTAGTTTGGATCATTGTATAATCATGTTCATATGCTGAATCTGTTTTGGTTTCCAGATCACTTGTTTCTGTGTTTCCTGACGATGGACAACGTGGGTAATCTTTCCAGGCATTAATCGAATCAGACCAAATGGTTGCTTGGGATATCTCCCTATCGCCTTCCTCTAGTTTAACGTCAACATCAATTTTGCACCAATGAACTACAAAGGTAAACTAATCAAAAAGACCTGATGACAATCATCTCTAAACTGAGAAGATGCTATTGTGTAAAAAAAAAACATAGAATAGGCCTATCGTTAGATATGAGAAAACTGATAGAAGGGTATGTAAACGTCACTTTAGCACAGCCATTATCCAGCAGCAATTGGTCATAATGTAATATTGATAATACAGACCCAGCTCAATTTAGCGTGATAGTAGGATGATTTAAGATCCACCCGGGTATTAGGCTAGCTAATATAATTTCCCCCTATACGTTAATTAGATAGCTAAATGGATACAAACGCCTAAACCTATTTGGATATATTTTTATGGCTTTTTTTGCTAGGTACTAGCGTAGCTAGCTAGTTGTCCTTAACTTACTGTACAGTACTAGGCTAACGTTACGTTACGTTTCCTTGGAGGTGGACTACTGCAAATCCTTTGGCCTTCATTGTGTTCAAAATTAAATTCAAGACAAAAAAACAATCGACTTCCCAGATCTTTTTAGCATTACTTCCGAAAACGTTTTCTTCTAGCTAGCTAGATGTAGTAAGCAGCAGCATCATCATAATCTTCTTCGATGAGGTTTAACGGCAGTTGGCATCCAATAAATGTTGCATTACCGTCACCTACTAGACTGGATTATAACTCCCTTATACTTTGCTTGAATTTTTTTTTAACAAATACCCTACCATCTTACACTACACTCACAAAAAAACAACACCCTACTCCGCTATTTAAATCTATTTAGTTCTACTTCAGACCAACAGCCTAAAAGGATGGGACACCACCACTTAACACACCCTCCAAATACCTCTATGCAGCTGCCACCACAACCTTCATTTTTCCAAGTGAAGTCCCCTGCATTTTCTAGTGTCAATTTGGGGTCGTTTGCAGAAATTTTTTGGGAACCCCTGATTTATCAGCAGGGCCAGATTACTGACCTGGCTCACAGGGAATGTGCCTGGGGCCTCAACCTCCAGGGGGCCTCCAACCAAAAAAGGTAATAAATCAGATAGCATATTAACATGTCATAAACCATGGCAAAACGTGTAAAATCGCTGGAAATTAACTTTAAAACTGCAAAATGTTCTCTGAGCCTCATGGCAAAATGTGTAGAAAAGCATGAAATTAGCTATAAAACTGCTAATGTTTCTCTCTTCCCCATGGAAAATGTGTGGAATTGCAGCAAGTTAGCTGTTTTCCCAAAAAACGAACTGTTTGGGGCTTGGGGGGGCGACCTGGAGGTGGTGGGGCCCCCTGGAGATAGTACAGCCCAGAATGGCAGGTTAGCATAATTCATGTAGCAGGTTAGGAGAATTAGGTTAAGGTTAGGAAAATAGTTAGGGTTAGCTGAAATGCTACAGTTGTCCCCGACGTGACTCAAACATGCAATTTTTGGTCCATAGCTGTACTCCATCTAGCCGCAACCGTCCCAGAGCCTTACCAGGGTGTTTTCACATATAGTCCTCTTTAAAATAACTGATCTGTTTTCTAGAAAGTGAACTCTGGGGTGAAAAAAAGCAAAATAACTCAGTTATCTTTGTATTCACACTGCCCTTGCCTTTAAATTAGGACTCAGCTATTTTGCCAGTTCACTTCAACTATTTTGTGGTTCGAGTCCTCTTTGCCTTAACATTGCTATGTTTAGAAAGGAAACAATATATTTTTCCAACATTCACTCAATGCACTCTGGGTAATTACACATTGCCGGACAAGCCATTCCATCAGAACCTGTTATTGAATAGCCAGGGATATAGCTACTTACCTTTTGGAAGCTAGTAAATTGCATTTAGTTAAAAGAGAAAAAATAATAATTATAATCAAGAGATAACATGTACATGTCAAAAGTTTGGACACACCTACTCATTCAAGGGTTTTTCTTTATTTTTACTATTTTCTACATTGTAGAATAATAGTGAAGATATCAAAACGATGAAATAACACATATTGAATCATGAAGTAACCAAAAAAGTGTTTTTTATATTTGAGATTCTTCAAATAGCCACCCTTTGCCTAGATGACAGCTTTGCACACTCTTGGCATTCTCTCAACCAGCTTCACCTGGAATGCTTTTCCAACAGTCTTGAAGGAGTTCCCACATATGCTGAGCACTTGTTGGCTGCTTTTCCTTCACTCTGCTGTCCGACTCATCCCAAACCATCTCAATTGGGTTGAGGTCGGGGGATTGTGGAGGCCAGGTCTTCTGATGCAGCACTCCATCACTCTGCTTCTTGGTAAAATAACCCTTACACAGCCTGGAGGTGTGTTGGGTCATTGTCCTGTTGAAAAACAAATGATAGTCCCACTAAGCCCAAACCAAATGGGATGGCGTATCGCTGTAGAATGCTGTGGTAGCCATGCTGGTTAAGTGTGCCTTGAATTCTAAATAAATCACAGACAGTGTCACCAGCAAAGTACCCGCACACCATAACACCTACTCCTCCATGCTTTACGTTGGGAACTACACATGCGGAGATCATTGTTACGTTAATTATTTAACAAACTATTTCAGTGTCTCTGTGCGTCTCCCAAAAGGTTGTAAGTCTTTTGGGATTTAAGTAACGGACAGAGTCCCGGTCTGCATAGTCAGAGATTTATTAATTGAGAATTCTGCCATCAGAATACAAACATCCCTCCTCTCTGTAGGCGGGCTGTAGTTTTCCACTTTAAAACTGCTCTCCTAACCATTAGGTTACACACATACACATTCACACACACACATACACACACACACAAGCCTAACAGTTTCTCTACTCCCTAAATTCCTCAGTTATCTTGGTTTCTCAGTTGCCTGTAGCCTTTCTCCTTGTCCTTTGTTGTCTGGCCTAACTCTTACTCACATTGCTAAATAGTAACACAATGTCATAATCTTTACTGGTCCTACACTCACACATTCTAACAAATTTCACACAGTTCCAGGGTGTAATAATTAGTCATTAATAATTAATCTATCAATCCATCCTTTGACTAAATATTACACACATACAAAATATGTGTTGTTATAGAAATGAATCACACACATTGAAGCATATAAGTTGGTTTGCATATAAAAACATAAAAAATAGTCTCATTCAATACAGGTTCGTCAGGGTTACCCCATGATTAAAAGCGTAACCTTACTCTTTAGCAATGGTACCTAACCTGTTTACCCACTATCTGGAAACAACAGTCTAAGCCTATAGTGAAGAACATTTGCTTCATCACATCCTGCAACATCGGTTAACTAGTACATTATACTTAAAACAAGACTTTAATACACAAAAGATCATTACAATAACTTTTAAACTAGAGATCTATAGTTCTAGGAAAACATCCAGTCACAGTTCTTCGTCAGATTTTCACTGCAACCTTAGAACTAAGAAAAGTTTCATCCAGTCTCAAACTATCTGAATAGTCGTCGTCCTCCACCAAGCCTGGTGAGTCATATTCTTCATTCCTTAGGTTGGAGTCCGGGATTGGGCCGTATCTCACCATCTGCTGTGATACTGCGCCAACGCCTTGCTCACCAATCCTCGGACACAGGGAATAAGACAACATCCACAAAGAACAAGCATACGCGATTGCCGCGCCTAAAATAGTTACAACAATAGTTTTCCATTTACCAAAAATGTTATCAAACCAACCAGTCATTGATGTATTCACCCCCCAGTTCTCAGCCCATTCTTTACTTAATGCAGTGAGACCTGCCAGTGCTCTAGTTACTGTACCATCTGGGGCTGTATTGTTGGGGATAAACATACATGTCACGATCGCCAATAAAGTAGGACCAAAGCGCAGCGTTGGGAGTGAACATGATGACTTTAATGTTGAAATAACGACAAAACAAAACACGATCCGTAACGTCCTCAGTACACCGACTGAACATAGAACAAAAACCCACAACTAACACAAGAAAACCTACATCTTAAATATGGCTCCCAATCAGAGATAACGAGCCGACAGCTGACACTCGTTACCTCCGATTGGGAGTCATTGAATACAAACAAGGAAACACAACCACAACCTAGAAATAGACACAACAGAACTCCCCACCTAGAAATAAACGTGACAGACATGCAACCATAAAACATCACCCAAAACCCAACAAAACAACATACACCCTGGCTCAAATACACAAGTCCTGGAGCCAGAGTGTGACAGTACCCCCCCCCTAAAGGTGCGAACTCCGGGCGCACCAGCATACAGTCTAGGGGAGGGTCTGGGTGGGCGTCTGTCCACGGTGGCGGTTCTGCCCCTGGTCGTGGTCCCCATCCCACCTTAGTCACCACCCGCTTCCCTAGCCTCCTCCACATTACCACCCCCCAACTACACCCCACTGGGTTAAGGGGCGGCACCGGACTAAGGGCCAGCACCGGACTACGGGGAAGTACCGGACTAAGGGGCAGTACCGGACTAAGGGGCAGTACCAGGCTGAATGGCGGATACTGGCTGGACGGCTCTGGTGGCTCCTGGCTGGTCGGCTCTGGCGGATCCTGGCTGGACGGCTCTGGCGGATCCCGGCTGGACGGCTCTGGCGGATCCCGGCTGGACGGCTCTGGCGGATCCCGGCTGGACGGCTCTGGCGGATCCCGGCTGGACAGCTCTGGCGGATCCCGGCTGGACGGCTCTGGCGGATCCTGGCTGGACGGCTCTGGCGGATCCTGGCTGGACGGCTCTGGCGGATCCTGGCTGGACGGCTCATGGCTGGCTGATGGATCTGGCTGCTCATGGCTGGCTGACGGATCTGGCTGCTCATGGCTGGCTGACGGATCTGGCTGCTCATGGCTGGCTGACGGATCTGGCTGCTCATGGCTGGCTGACGGATCTGGCTGCTCATGGCTGGCTGACGGATCTGGCTGCTCATGGCCGGCTGACGGATCTGGCTGCTCAAGGCTGGACGGCTCTGGCTGGACAGGGCTGACGACGCACCCCGTAGGCTCGGGGCGTTGAGCAGGGACAGGCAGAACCGCACTGGGGACACACACCCCTGGCCCTACACGGGGATCAGGAACGGG